GTGGCCGCTGCGCCCAGCCCCCTGTGTGCCAGGAAGGCCAGGAGCCCGGACCTGCACGTGCCCAGCCTGCAGCGGGGGCGCTCAGGTGTGCGGGGGCTGCTGGGCACGGGGGAGGGCCCTGGAATATGCCTGCTGCCCCCGCCCCGTGGGCCCTGCCGTCTGCCCACGCTGCCCTGCCCCCCCAGGGACGCCGGCCCCCAGGGACACCGAGAGCAGCCTGTGCGTGGAGTATGAGCGGGGGCCTGGTCGGGCCCTCAGCAGGCCCGCGGGGCTGCTGGCCGCCCTGGACCACAGCGAACAGCAGGCCGCGGGCCTGGGGGATGAGGCGCCCCCCCAGGAGGAGGAGGTAGGGAGGAGGGCGATTCGGGCCCCCACATCCCTGACCAGGCCCGTGGCCCTGCTGGTCGGGAGCCAGTCTGGTGGGCGGAGCCCGTGTCTGGCCCCGCTGGCTCCTCCTCCCCTCAGGGCTGCGCCTGCCTGACCGGCGCACCCCACTTTCTGGCTAGAGCTAGAGGCTTGCTCACCAAGTGGGCCCTCCGGTGTCTGCTGCCCAGCGGGGCCCTGCCCCTTGGGCGACAGGCACCATGGCCGTGCTCTGCCCACAGCGTGTGCCGAGGCTGGCAGAGGAGCGGCGCGGAGGGAGGAAGCGGATCAGGCTGGTCGGCGGCCCGGTACGCTGCGGGGGGGCGTCCCGCGGGGCCCTGCCCTGCCAGGCTCCCGGTCCACGGTCCCCCGGCCCCGCTGTGCGTGAGGGCCTCTCCCGGGCTGCGACCGCCGGGCCTGAGAGTGGCCTGCTCGGCGGGAGGGAGGCAGGCAGGAGCGGGGATGAGGCGCTGGGCGGGGGGTCCCCGGAAAGCCCGGGGCTGCCTGAGCCTGCCTGCCTCTGGGTGTGCACTTCCCGGTGGGAGGGGGCTCGGGGGAGGGCCCTGCAGGCTGGGGCCCTGGCTTGTCTCTTGCTGTGAGCTGCCAGTCCTCAGGTGGTTACCCCCACCTGGTGCCCCCCCGGCTCGTGTCCCCCCTCACTCGGTGCAGCCCCCACCCTGTGCGACTGCCTGGGTCCAAGAGGGCCCAGGGCCACCTAGCCGGGGACCCCACCGGGCTCTGGGCTGCGTTGCCCACCCAGCACCGCCCAGGGCAGCGCCCCCGCAGCCAGCCCCCGGCCTGGAGGCGTGCTGAGGCCCCGTGTCCGGCAGGGGGCGCCCCTGGCCGGAGCGCAGGAGGACAGGGCCAAGGTGTTCCTGGCCGCGGTGAAGCGGGCGCTGAGCCGGGCCAGCTTCGACGCCTTCACCCGGGCCCTGCAGGACTACAAGGCCTCAGATGACTTCGAGGCCCTGGTGGCCCGCCTCGGTCCACTCTGGGCCAACGATCCCGAGAAGCACGGCCTGCTGCAAGGTGCCCGCGGAGGCCCCTCGCGCCCCCGGGAAGGGGGGTCCCTGTCCGAGCACCCAGGGCCTGATGTGCCCCTCCAGGCTTCTGCCAGTTCGTGCGGCCTCACCACAAGCAGCGCTTTGAGGAGACCTGCCGTCAGCTGACCGGCCGGGGCTGCGGGCCCGAGCATGGCCATCCCCGTGGGCTTGGGGCTGGGCCGGGCCAGGCCGGTGCGTGCTTTCTGGCTGGCGGGTCTGTCCTGAGGACGGCGGGTGGGGGGTGGCCTGGGAAGACCCTGCCCCTCTGGATCGGGCCTGCAGGCGTCCTGGTGTCCCTGGGGCAGCTGAGTGGGGCGCCGAGGCCCATCTGCCTGGGCCGGGCCTGTCTCTTCCCGGGGGCTCGCCGGACTCTTGGGCGCCAGCCCCGCCGCGCACCTCCTGTTTCTGCAGAAGGGGGTGCAGACCCCAGGCTGACCGTGTCCCAAGGCGCAGCCCAGCAGCTGGACCCTGGAGAGCATCTGAACCAGGGCGGCCCCCACCTGCTCACCGGGCCTCCCCACACAGGTGCCAGTCCAAGTCGGGGCGGGAGCAGAGCCCCACGGGCCCCTCGTCGGCGCCACGGTGGGCGGGACGCTTGGCTGCCCCAACTGGGAAGAGGTGCCAGCCTGGCCCCTGCCCACCAGGAGCCCCTGGGGCCGAGAAGCCAGGCCAAGCTGCTGCCCGCGCCTACCTGGCCGAGGCCCGCCGCGCCCTGGGGGCTGCCGCCTGCAGCCGGCTGCTGGCCGCCCTCAGGGCCTACAAGCGCGACGACGACTACGACAAGATGGTGGCCGTGGTGGCCGAGCTCACCACCGCCCGGGCCCAGGACGCGCCCCTGCTGCAGAGCAAGTGCGGGGCCGTGGGGGGTCCCGGGACACGCCCCTGCTGCCGAGCGAGGGGGGCCGGGCGGGGGCGCTGCTGAGCCGCCTCCCCACAGGGTTCGCCATGTTCGTGCGGCCGCAGCACCAGCAGCGCTTCCGGCAGACGTGCAGGGACCTGGCCGGCCCTGG